TTGTTATACAATCAGTCTCCAGGACTGTTTCATCTTTCAAACCTGAAACTCTATACTCATTCAACAGTAACTCTCCATTTTCCTCTTCCCGCAAGCCACAGCAACCACCATTCTGCTTTCTACAAGTCTGTCTATTCCAGATACTCATATACGTGAAATCATGTGCTTTAATTTTTTTTGTGATTCACCTATATCACTTACCATAACGTCCTCAAGGTTCACCCATGTTATAGCCTGTGTCAGAATTTTCCTTCCTTTTTTTAAAAACTTCAATCTTCTATTTTAAAAATCTAAGGCTATTTTGCTATAAATGAGAAGAAAGAGAGAAACGCACTGCTTTGAAAGGAATACTTCAAGTAATGCAAGGATTTACTATTTGGAGATAAAATCCCGAGTACAGTGCCAGGCACTTAGTAAGCTCTCAATTTACGCCATTTTTACTATTATCACAACAAAAAATTGAGACGTTTCACAGATGATGGCTTCTGTAAGGTAAGGCAATCTCAAATATGTTAGCTGGACTCAATTCAGCTACTCTTAGTGAAGAGACCCTGAGATCATAGCAAAGCACAATCCTCATGACTAATCGCCAGATAAAGCCCAATGCCTACTGCTCTCCTTTCTGGAGCGCATGTCCATCAGAGGTGGAAGAGTGGAAATGGCCTGTCAGTACTGATTTTGTGTACTTCTGTGAGAGAATGCCCCAGAATGTGATAACTAAATGACTCTTGGTTGGGATTTCTGAGCTTTCTGCCTCTCTGGAAATCAGCTGGCTTCTGCTTGCTCCATTTACTGTGTACCAGCCAATACAAAATGAAATGCTCAAGTCGTAATTTTAAAATTAAGTATATCCCGGAGGATTCCCATGCAGGGCGTACATCAGTGTTTACCAAGCAATCTGCAAGTCCAATCGCAGGAACCGTTCAGAATAATCTATTCCTCACCGCCCAAAGGCTTCAAACTTTCTGGAACTTCCGAGCTTGTCAAATGAGGGAATGAAAGAGCCACGGCAGCAGCAGCAGCAGAGGACATGCTGTTAGCTGTTTCATTCGTATTGTGGGGCAGGAGTATATTCTCTCCTTGCACCCTAATGTTGTTAACCTGGCTCTCACATTAGTGTGTTGCAGGATTAGAGAGGCAGTGTGCTACACGGAGGAAGGGGAGAGTCTCTCTGGGGGCCTGGGTTTGCTCTGGCTTGATCACTTACTAGCTGAGTAACCCTTTGCAAGTTGTTTGACCTTTCTCTGCTTCTATTTCCTTAGCTGTAAATTGGAGATGATCGTGGAAACTATCTCATTATTGGCTGCTGGCACAATTAAATGAATTCAGATAAAGTACTTAGAAAAATGCCTGAGAATCAGTAAGCATAAGTGTTTACTATTATTGTTACTTCTTTCTCAATTACATTTTTAATATGGAAATAGTCAGATCCAGTTATATGTAATATTTCGAGTTGGGTACCAGTAAGGGTTCTCCTGCCCGGTGTTGTTCCAGCCGATAGAACGTGACCAGTTCCTTGGTTCAGAAGCAAAGGAAAGCTTCGTTCTTTGATCAAAGAATGGAGAGGTGTGAGCCTGGGCTCCAGAGCACCTGCTCTCCCCGACAGGCCAGGGCAGGGCTGCTTTACAGGGACTGCGGCAGCAGAGAGGGGGCGGGGTTCTCGCGGGGCTGACGCAGCTGCGCAGATTAGGTTCCAGCTCACAGTGCCGGGCGCAGCATCTCTGCACACAGCCTGCCTCCGCCATCTTAGATTGAGTGTCGTGAGCCCCTCTTCTGCATGCGGTGCACCCAGCTGAGGTGTCGCCACAGCCATTTCAATGCACTAGGACCTCTGGTCTGAAGGGCTGGTGCAAAGCCTCTCTCTGCTCACAGCACCCAGAAGCAAGTGAAACTAGACCGAAGCGCAAAAGGTTAGACTTTCTCACCTAGATTCTGTCTTATTTATCCCCATGGACCTGAGTGGGCTTTGCCGGTGGCAAAGTGATTTGGGGGTCTTTTTGTGTGGTGAACTATACGTAACAAAATTGCCCATCAACCATTTTTCAGTGTACAGCTCAGTGGCACTAAGTGCATTCACACTGTTGTGCAGCCATCACCACTATCCATCTCCAGAACTTTATTATTATCCCAAACTGAAACTGTACTCATTAAGCAATAATTCCCTATTCTTCCCTTCCCCAGTCCCCTGGTAACCACAGTTCTACTTCCTGTCTCTAGGAATTTAACTACAGCTAGGTGCCTCCTATAAGTAGAATCATACAGTATTTGTCCTTTTGTGACTCGTTTACTTCACTGAGCATGTCATCCACTGTAACGTGTCAGAATTTCATTCCTTCTTAAGGCCGTGTAATATT